CCTTTTTCTATACTTTAAATTATTCAATCTAAAAAATATTGTGCACGTAAAATTACTAAAAAAAAAGGAGGAACTTTTGGGATGACCTAATATTATATATAGTAGGTATAGGTAAAAATTTGTTCTCGTTGTCAAAATCAAAGAGGAAGGGAAGCCGTTTATTTTTCCATTCGACGACTCGGTCAAGAACGAGATAAAACATTTTGTGAAAATTCTATCTTGCGTAGAAAACATATTTTCCAAGAGAATTCGATCACGAGGCCGAAAGTATTACAACGACGGGATGACAACATAAGGTACATACTCGAGAGTCGAACGCCATGGGAAACATAGTTATTTCTGGTGGATTCATAGAAGAGAAAAGAGAAAAAGAAGTTCTCGTATCAGCCCTCTAAAATAACATGGCACCCGAGACGTGGTACACCATAATATAAGTCCGTGAAAACGAGGTTCACGGTTAAAAAATCATAAGGGTTGCAATGTTGCGTGTCATCCCCTTAAATACTTGCCAACATTGTATATTTTTGTCAATTAAATCAAGAAACAACTCAAAAAAAAAACATGATGTACTAACTAACAATAAGATGATTCATTCTTTTTTTCTGTATCGAAGATTCTATTACTTTGAAAGTGGACACGGAAAGAAGTAAACAAGTGTTATCGAAACGAATAGGAACCCCAGAGTGAGTAAGAATAAAAAGAAGGCAAAATAAGAGGACGCGCGCGGAAAATACGCGCGTGTTTCTTAGATGAGCGCAAGCGCGAGCTAGAAACCGATTTCAGAAAGCGAGGATGGTTTATGACCCGTAACGTTTCTAGCAAGACCCTTCCTGTGAAGCATCCATCCACCTTCTCTCTCTCTCTCTTTCTTTCTTTCTTTTTGGCGCAACGTGACTCCATCCCTTCGTAAATTCGATCCAATATATTAGGGTTAGCTTCCAGGAAAAAGAAACTATCGATGGGACTGGCCGAAATCGATGTTTTCGACTTTTCGATTTGAAAACGTCTCGATTTGAATTCTCTCTTTAATCTCACCTTTTTAGTATTGGTCGAATATTGGGCCTATACTCTTCATGTAAATGTTCAACAACAACAAAAAAAAAAAAAAAGAAAGACCTTTTCGAATACCCAATTTCTTTAGAACTTGAAACTACCTTTTTACGATTGCTCGAGATAAGGACTGGGGGGGTCTCGTCCGTTTGAAGATTGGGGTTGGCAACTTTGAAGGATATTTTTTATTCATGTGACGTATATTCGAGGGCGCGGAAAAAAACACATTCTCCCCGATCAGAGTCAAGATGGAGACCGACGTAAGAACTTAGATCCTTACATTCTGCAGGATGTTCAATTTTAAATTTTCTCCGACCAATGCCTATGTTCATTCCCTTATGTCGCGAACGTACAAGTTCGATCATGAATTTTCGATTTTCTTATATGGAATTATCGAATTGTTTCAAGTCAAACTTATCGTCGATGTAAAAATGATATTTCTGTAAGTACACGCGGAAACATGTTTATGTACAGACGCGCAAGCGCGCACATATAGATACACATAGTAGATATATATGTATATAAATATGTTTTGCAAGCTATCTTGGGTAATATATTTTATTAAATTATCGGCAACGCTATAACATTAAATATAGTACTAGGAGAGCAAGAGGTCGAAAGAGCATCAAACGTTTCGGTATCGCCTCTGGCCATTAAAGGTTTTATCGATTATTTATATGCAGCAAACGTTACACAAACGAGGTATGCGCGAGAGTAATTTCTCTGACACGATCGCACCCCTACACTTTTTTTGTTGGTGTTTGTATTGCAAACAGCAAGTATGAATAGCAAGGTGAACGTATGAGTAATGTAAAGTATCACCTATCCTTACGACAAATAGGAAAAAATTTTGATAAAAAAATAAAAATAAAATATAAAAAGCTCTTTTACTAATTGCACGTTCTAAATCGAAAAGGGTCAATGGGAAAAAAATTGTGGAAAAGTAGGTATATTTTCCCATGGGATATCAAGCAAATCCTACAGATCGAAGCTTTTTCAAATATTTAACAGCAATATCCAATTTCGTCTTATGTATCCGTGTGCCTCTTCCTCTTCTTCATAGCTGATTCGACGAAATCGTCATTCGACTAAAAGCTATTCTTTCTATTACGATTCCACCTATTATATTCCACAAATCGATTATACCCAAGCTGATATTGTAGTAAAACTTCTTTTGGGAGAATACGTACGACAAATTTTTCAACTCAAACGAAAAGTGAAAGGTTTGGTAAGAGAGTACGTTATTTGAGTGATGGGGGGGGGAGAAGGGGGTAATATCGATCGAACAGAATTTGCAGAAGGTGGCAAGGGGGAGATACCAGACAAACAATTTAAAAGAACGAAACAAAAAGTGCATCAAAACGTCGTCATTGATAAGACGCGAAATAATAATTTATCGGATTATTCTGATTTATTCGAGTGTTTTTTTACCGATAATATCGATTTCATAAATCGATCTTATTGTTAGAACTTTGACGTATCGAGAACGATAGAAAATGTTTTACTTGAAACGCAAGAAAACGATTTCCTTGACGTTGCCCTCGGCTTTATCGACGTTCATCGAAACCCTTTTCGTTCGTTAGCTTCGAACTTAGAGAAAAAGAGAAAGAGAGAGAGAGAGAGAGAGAGAGAGAGAGAGAGAGAAGTAGAAGTAGTAAAGGCTATCAATGACACGACGATGTGGCTCGTCGGTTTTAATAGCGACAGCCCGGTTGGCTGGGTGAAAGCAGCAAAATGGAACTTCTAAATGGATAAGATATAAGAGTTACACTCGAACGAAAGGAAGAATTAGGTGTCCTGATGTATGAGACGCCGTCGTCTCTGCTCCTGCTTCCGGAGAAACATGCGCCGCGTAAACGAATGAGAAAATAGGATGGATATCAACAAAAAGAATATTATCTTTCATTATTTTATGAAAAAATATATCTCCTATATAATTAATTATTAAATTAGAGTTGGTCCCAAGCTCAGACAAATTATAATGGTTCGCGAGTGAAGCTAGCAACCTACCCTTGATAAAAAGAAAAGATAACTACTTCAGATAACAGGACAAAGTTCTAATAATAGTAAGAAGATGAAGAAGAAATGATATGTAAGTAACCTTACAAAAGAAAATCACCTCGTTAAAATGAATATTACATAGGAAAACATTATGCTCTCAATCTTGAAGATGCGATCTCACGAGAGTGGAAAAAGGAACGGGGATGAAAGTCGTCCGGTAGGACAGTGGGTGATGCATGTGCCTTGTACGAAAGTAGTCGAGCTTGCTTGGAAGCGAGTCTTCGAGCTTGAGGAAACGAGAAGGTTGGGCTGAAAACGTGATCCTGTGACTGATCCGTGAAAGCGTGAAAGGGTTTCCACTCCTTTTTCCACCCCTTTATCCACTCTAGAAGTAAGACGGGGGTGTCGCGAGGCAACGATCAATCACTCTGTGTCACGAGCCCTGTGCTCGCCCTCCTCTTATTTTCTTTCTCTCTCAAGCTCCCTTCTTTTTTCTCTCCATCTCCTCCGCATCTCGCAGTATTCACATAAAGGGTTTTCTACTGATATAGCCAAACGAAGGAAGTTTCTACGATAAATGACGTAAATGCGAGTATACTCTACCTCCAACTCTCCTTCTACCCCTTTACTCTTTAACCCCGTTCCTCTATTCTCGCGATCTATCAGTATCTACGTCTACCATCGTCAACGAGATCAAATTTAAAAGCGATATTATTGTTCGAGGTAGCAAGACTAATGGGGTTTTATTATAGCGTTCGAAGTCGAGGTTATCGGTCCTCACGTCCTTCGATCTCTCGTCTGACGCTGCGAGATTACTGAAAAGCTTTCTTTCCATTTCTCCTTTACCCAAAAGAAAGCGGATTTCGATGTTTTAGCATAGCGAAATCGTAGAATTATCACGTAGGATAACATCGTAGGATATCGATCGTGAGAATGAGAAAGAAAGAAAGGAAAAAAAGAGAAAAAAGGTGGAAGAAAGGAAGGGAGGGAGGGAAGGATATGAGAAGAGAGAAACATAAGTAAGACGGGAAGGGTTCGAGATTATCCAATGCCTCTTTTACGGTCCTCGTTCGTGTCGAGAGATAATAAAACTAATGTATTCATGAGATAATTATTTCTTGCATTCATTACGAAGTTGTAAAGTTTTTATTGGCTGGGTCTGTTCTCCGAGCAAAAGAGTGCCCCCTCCTTGTACAAAGAGAGAAAACTCAAAGGAGAATCTTTTAGCGACAAAGCATGCCGAATGGTTTTCTACTTTAGATACGCGTTACTCTAGAAAAGGGTAAAAGGAATCGAATTGGATCATCCATCCATCGCGATTCTCGTGTGCGAAAAGTCTTTTAGAATTTTTCTCTCTAGTCGAAGGAAAAGTATATATCGATGGAGGACGACGACGATCTCGTAGGACATATGCAAGGGTGGAAAGGAAGGAAAAGCAAAAAAGAGAAATCGAGGGTGGCAAGGATGGAACGTCCCGAAAGGACGAAGGCGCCACCAGAATATCAAGAAGCACGGACAGCACCCTGAACAAAGGCTTCTATTCCAACCGAGAACCAGATCCCAAAGAGGGAAAGATACATCAACTCCTGTGTCATATAAAAATGTGTTTATGCGCTGCACACCAGGAATGAAAAATATCCGACGAAAAGCATCTTCTGTATTCTAGAGCAAGAAAAAGAGAAAGAAAGAAAAGTCAACTCTCTTCGGTCATTCCTTGTTGCTCATAAAACGCGACTTTTTTTTCTTTAGGAAAAATTTTCTGTTCCTTGTTACCCGCGCAGAATCATCGATGGTATTTCTTGTCCTTAGTTAACTGTTACTTACATTTTCAAATTGAACAAATGTTAACTGTTGAAATATTTCTAAGAAAATTTTTAATTAATGAAAAAAATTTGTAAAAACTTTATCTTAATGCTATTCTTAATACTTACGGATACATTAAGAACGTGAGCTTCGCTTAACTAGAATTTCTGAGCTTTTCGTTCACGTCTAGGACGTAAAAGAGGCAAGACATACGGAGCCAGACCGCGGAAGAATGGAGTTGACGGGGCAGAAATTGTGAAGACCGGAGACGGAAACGAAGCTCATCGTTATACCACCTAGCAACGTTACACACGAAGAAATCTCAATGAGAATTCGAATTTCTCTTTATATTCGTTCCTCGAACACATATTCTCTAAATAATAATAATAACAATAATAACAATAATAATAATAATAATAACAACAGGATAAAAAAGAAAAATAATATAAAAATAATCTTGAATCATCCGAATTGAATAAAATATAATATTTTTTTCACTTACCGGTCCATGGTTCCTTAACATCACAGAATAAGTTGAGATAAGCAAAGAAGATGATGGTTGAAGAAGGATCAATGCAATGGGACTTTCGAAGATGTAGGGAGTCCTTGGGATAGAGGCGCATGTTGCGGATCCTGTCTACGCGATTCTTCTAATCCCAGGGTGAACTCACCCTCGCTTTCTTTCTCTTTTTCGTATTTTTTTGCTCTATCTCTCTTTGAACCATGTCTGTCACTCGAGATTTCTTTTTCCCTATAGAAGGAAACGAGAAATTGAAATCGGCTTTTCGGAATTGCGCGCCAGAGACGATGTCCCAAAGGGAGAGAAATGCAAACACGCCTTTGGTGAGCTCGCAGACTTTATCGAAAACGCCTTCGAGTTCTGAAACATCGAACAAAGGTAAGCGGGCTTTTGACGAAACGATTCCAGGGGTAGACGGAAAGAAATAGATTTATTTCGCGTTTATCTCAACTCTCAGGATTTCAGCCCTCTAAAACTATATCGATAACATTTTTACATTTGATTTAGCCCTAACATTTTGTTTACGATATAAAATATCTATGAGAGATTATTATTACTTACAATTAATTTCTTAAAGATACACGAATCTCTTAAATTCGTACATTTATTTGTTAAATTAATAATACAATTATATTTTAATGTGTGTATGTATTTATATACGTATATGCACGGCCAAAAAAATATTTTTATGTTAATACACTTAAAGATATATATTGCAAAAACATGTACATACATGAAGTATATTCTCAAAAAATAATACTATTAGAAACTCTAATTCAAAATTCTGACTGACCTGTGTACTTTCCCGTAAAACAATGAACATTCTCTACCGCGACATCTTGCAGCATTTTTCGGAATTATTACGATACTGTAGGAAGTCAATATGGAAGATCAAAGTTTCTTGCAATAATGTTATCATACGAGACTTTAAATTTCAGTCACAATTAAATATTTTATTATTTGTAATAAAATTATATTAAAAAGACAGCCATTTTTCATTTTACAAATATCAAAATTTGTAGTACTAAATATAATACAATTTCACACTTTCACTTCAGCACATGTGAGACCCGCTTATTTTGAAAGTGGTCTAATTTCATTTTCCAAAAAAATCGAATTAGCTAACGTAATAGTTACATTTTTAAATGATCTATTCATTCTGAAGCAATTTGTTATTAATATATTAAAAATCATGAAAATTTGGTAACATGAAAATTTGCTGATTAATGAAGCAATGAAAAAGTTTATTTTGAAAGCGGCCTAACTTCATTCTTGGTAAAAAAACGCATATTATTCACTTAATAATTGCCACTATTTTAACAGGAACTATAAATTTAACACCTTTAGATACACGCAAGCATTATAACTCGTTAATATCTTGTACGTATAATTTTAATTACATTGAAAGGCAAACCTTTCAATATCTCGATTCGAACATAAACGGAATCAGGCCACTTTCAAAATAAACGGCCCATCCATATTTTGTAATAATTCGTTATTATATAAAAATATATTTGAAAGCTTTCAAAAGTATTTATTTCAAATACTATTTCGTATACTATTAAATAACAGGTGTATTTTAAATGAAAATAACGATGCTGCCATTTCAGCAAACTACCCTCTTTCATACAACTTCAACGTAAGACTGCCTACCCTTTAGTTTCTTCTCATATCGGATGCAAAGTGGAAGGGAAAGTAAGCTCCACCCCTTGTAAAGCCTCTAGCAACGAATGAGAATAAAGCTGAACTTGATTCACGTTTTTTAACTCTAGCACACACCCCTTTAAACCAGGAGAATTTATTCATTCTACATTGTATAGACATTTATGAAAAAAAAAATGACAATATTTCTTGTTCAATATAGAACAGGTAAAAACTGTCTCAAAAAGTAGTATCCAAAAGTAAAAAAAAGATACTCGCAAAAAGGGGTATCTTACAAAAGGGGTGCCTAAAAAAGGGTTTACCCACAAAAGGGATACCCTGCAGCATTTTATATCGAAGGGGTGGAGAATTAATCTTCTGCAATGGATAGTAACATTTTTAATCTCATACTATATGTTAAAAATTGTTTATAAATGTTTATCGAAAGTTGGATTGAAACACATAATATTAATTGAACTGATCAAAAAGTATAATATAAGAGAGATAAAATAAAAATTATTTGTTTAAATATATAGTTTAAATAGTATATAACATATATATAATATATATGATATATTAATTATATATAATATATACTATAGTATATATTATATAGTATATATTAATTAACTATATTAAATATTAATTAATATACATAAAACAACAATATAAAAACTTACTAATCTTAAATCCAATTAAACTCCTATTATCTAAAATCACTTCAACAGTGCGCGGTGACTGATTGATGAAAGGATACACTGCGATGCAAAGTCACCGACAGACAGCGGAGCACTGAGCAACCCCTTTCAAACAGCAGCGTAGCTGTTGGTAGACTGCGTTACCCTGACCAATCATGGGAACTGATCTCCCTATCCCTAGAAGAAGGTCCTCCAAGAGTATAAGAGAGAGACCGGTATCCTCTGCGTAAAGATTGGCTATACTACGGAGCATGCCCTGAGCGGTGTCCAAATCCCACCGATGAGGGGAGTGGCTCGCTGAGTTTTGACTACGAGTAAGAAAAAATATTGCCACGCAGTGTTATCTAAAATAAACAATCAATTAATGATCTTATCTTAATTAACATATTTTTTAATTACAGCAAAGCACAAAATGCAATATAAAAATATAGACTATTGCATCAGATACTTACCTATATGTAATATAACAAATTATTTAAATATAATGCATGTAGATACATAGGCCTATACTTTTCCAGCTGCATCACCCTTTTTTAACAGCTATCCCTTTTTTATGTGTAAAGGGGTGATACCCTTTACCCCTTTCAAAGGGGTTAAAATATAAAAGGGGGACTAATGGTACATAAAAAAGCATGTGTGACACTACATACTGCAATCTGTGCAGTTTAAATACATTTAAACATAAAAAAAATGCATAAAGCTAAACGTTTGTCGAGTGTTAAATAAAAATAAAACTACATATAATATTAAGGAGTATAATTGAGGTTCTGTTACCTGGTATATATAATTATTATTTATTTGTCCTAAATCACATAATAAAAGATATTTAACATATTTGTTAGAATTACCACGCTTTTATTCAACCTGAAATCATGAATTATGTAAAACAATTAATCCATTTTTTATTAGTTTATATATTTATATATATTTAACCTAAAAAAACATATTCGTTATATTATATTGAAATAATGAATATGAACAGAAAATTACGTACTTGTATGACGAAAATCCATCCAAAAGTTATTAATTAAATAACCTAATAATAATATTTCTTCTTCAATTTTTTCTTTTAAACATATAATGCGCGCCAAGAAAAATTTAAAAGTTTTGTAATAGAAAACATTAGTCGAGCTCTGTTTTATCGACAGTTCAGAATGTTAACTCTTACTCATATGATAAATATAACACACGATAAAATAATATAATATATTTCAAGTAATTATGAATTGTTATTATATACTTACATATATATTAAATTTAGCTATTTCTAATATAAATTATAATTGTGTATTTTATATGAATAATTAAATGCATATCATTAGTACGTAGTAATACGTTTGCATCTCACGTCTATAGATAGCGCTTGTAGAACGAACCATGTGCGAAAACGCGTGTGAAAGTATTCGTGGTGTATTTGTAATAAAAACACGTTTCTACAGCATTTTTTTAAACAAAAATATAAAATAGTACAAAATAAAACATTATTTTATTGACAGTTTTGTTAACAATCAAATCTGAGTGTATATATAATTGAATATTCAAAAATATCAAATATAACCTATAAAAATCTTATTTGATTTTAATTGAAAGTAAAGTAAATAGTGTAATATTGTAATTATTATAAACTTTGTTATAAAAAATGAGTGATCAAGAATCAGAAGATGTTCCAAAAGTGACCGGCCCTGTGGACAATGCTTGGTCCTTGAAAATCCCATCATTTAAACCTAAGGATAATCCACATCGTCTTTTAGAGGAAAGTTCTTTTGCTACTTTATTTCCAAAATACAGAGAACAGTATTTAAAAGGGCATTGGCCTCTTATACAAAAAGCATTAGACGAACATGCGATTAAAGCTGAATTAGACCTAGTGGAAGGTAGTATGACAGTTAAAACGACTAGAAAGACTTGGGATCCTTATATCATTGTAAAAGCACGGGATATGATAAAGCTCTTGTCTAGATCGGTACCCTTTGAACAGGCAGTGAGAGTATTACAAGATGACACTGGTTCTGATATTATTAAAATATCTTCATTTGTAAGAAATAAGGAAAAATTTGTTAAGAGACGACAAAGATTGATCGGACCTAATGGATGTACATTAAAATCTATTGAATTGTTAACAAATTGCTATGTATTAGTTCAAGGACAGACCGTTTCTGCTTTAGGGCCTTATAAAGGTTTACAACAAGTTCGACGTATCGTTGAGGATACTATGAAAAATATTCATCCTATTTATAATATAAAAGCGTTAATGATTAAAAAAGAATTAGCAAAAGATCCTAAATTACAGAATGAAAATTGGGAAAGATTTTTACCTAAGTTTAATAGTAAAAATGTAAGTAAGCGTAAACAACCAAGAAAGAAGACGGAGAAGAAACCGTATACTCCATTCCCACCGCCACAACAAGAAAGCAAAATTGATAAACAGCTTGCATCTGGAGAATATTTCTTAAAGGAGGAACAAAAGAGAGCGAAGAAAATGAAAGAGCAAGAAGCTAGGCACGAAGAAGCTAAAAAGAGAAGGATTGAACGCAGAGAGCAAGCATTCATTCCACCTGAGGAAAAACCGGTGGAGAATAATGTTAAAAATACAGAAGTAAACATTGATGAATTAAAGAAAAAGATTAAGAAAGGTATGAAAAAAAATAATACCAAATCGTAGACAAGGAGAATTATGACAGATGGTATTGAGATTTTGTGCATATGCAAAATATGAACAAATGGTAAATTAAATGAATTTTAGAATAAACAAATATTTTTCAGCAGAAGTGTGTCCTATAATTTTATTAGAAAAACTTTGTCTAGAATTACTGTAATATTGTAATCTTATCTTATATTTATATGTATGTATACATTTATGCATATGTAATAATTATTATACATTTGCGAAATATAGGATGGAGGATTATACAATTTATGCATTGAAAATAAATCAATTTATATAAGACAAAAAGATGATATTAAAAAAACAATATCGTGTAATGTTAATTTATAAACGGAATTATTTTTTTTTTTTAACATATGTGACGTAAAATTATAAAATCAGTAGTATGATTTTATATATTTTACAATCCTAATCATCCTTAATATATTTTGATTTATTTGTTGAAATATATTCAATCACAATCACATTCTTTATCTTATAGAAAAATTCATTTTCCTAACGATTCAGAAGAAATGACAAATAAAAATACGTAAGAAATAGTTTGCTAATGAACCTTCTCGTATTTTATTTGCGTTTCTTCCTCAATTACAAAGATATTTTATAATTATAAGAATGTTAACATTGACTGATTACTTACTATTATCTTAATTATATCTCGAATTCTCTGTGTTATCATACAGTTTATAGATTTGGAAAGTATATTATTTTTTCATTTCTTCATCGATTTATATTTATATTTTCATAGTGGTAGTAGGGTTTATTATTTACAAGTATCAGCATAATTATGATAGAGAACCTTTGTAGTTTCAACTCTTTTATCATGCACGGAAGCAAAGAGAAAATGTATCCTTATTTATTATAGCAGTGAGAAGTAGTATTTCGAGAATTTAGGACGGGAGGAAGATAATAGAATATGTAAAATTATTTACAAGAATTTTTTTTGTTTTTCGTATAATTCTGTATGGAAGTGAGTACTTCCATTTTTAATAATGTAGGAATTCATGAGAGAAAGTTGTTCGGAAAGTGAAAGAATTTCGATGCATAACACCGAAAAGATTCAACTTTTATCACAAATTCTACAATTCTTGCACCTGGATGCGCGTCTACCACATTTTCACATTACGAGCGTATCTTAAATATGAAACAGACGCATAGAATTCGTCAACATTTATGTACGCATATAACAACCAACTTAGACGTAACATTATGATTCATATAAAATGATACATTAATATTTCAATAATAATTTTCCTTTAAAACAAGTATATATCAGAGAATTGTAATCGATATTCAAATTTGAATGATAATGTTACGAGTACGCAGGGGTGTTTCAACGCATTCACATTAATATCGTATTTATATCATTCTCTAATTAATTTACAATATATATTCGTTATTAAACGAATGTTCGTTTATAATATCTACACTAAGGAAACGTTATTGCCTATTTAAAGTATCAATATGTAAAAAAACAATCTCCCAACAAACATTTTCGACTACGATTATTAACATTGACGACGACATTTCGGATGGGCGCAATATTATACAAAAGCTCAATGCCTCCAGTAGATGCGAATCCTGGCGCAAAAACGGCGGCAGTTTAATCAGTTTATCGGCGTAAAGTTTCGAGGCATAAAAAAAAAGCCATCTCTCGCATGCCGATCAGCCTAAATTTAAAGAACCACGTCATATATTGCTATGTAAGTCACCGTGTTGTAATAATATATGTATTTATGTACTTTCGCCTTTTAGTTTTAACGCGTTGCGGACGAGCTTATAATAATTAATTATACTAATCGTTTCTACGCTTCATCGAAGTGAGATCTCTTCGAACATAATTATATATATGTATATATATAATTATACTTAAACGATCGATCAGTCCGCAACGCGTTAAATCATCACACGATAATAAAATCCTATCGCGATTCCCATCCGTTCGCACACAACCAAGTAAATATATAATTTTTTACAAAAATAAATCTCTTTATCGAGAATCATAGAGCGTTGAGTCGAAATAATAAGAGAAACGACTCGTTTCGTCTCATAATTCCATTATTTTGGATAGGAGACAACAAAATTTCGATGTGATCGAAAATCCTTAAAAAAAATGTCTATTAAAATTTGCTATATATATAAAAAAAAGAAGAACAAGAAGAAGAAGAATGAAAAGGAAGGAGTGAATGGACGTTGCGTGGATGAATTTTTCAGACTCTTAAAGAGTTATTATCATTAATCATCGATAATAGTCAAGTTGTAACAAATAATCTCTCTTCTTCTTTTCCTCTGCGCATATATCTTTTATAGACAACAATAAAAAATAAACACATTTGTAGAGAGTAGACATAACATCGTGAATGACTAGTAAAGAGTATAAAAAAAAAATAATATATATAATCGAACCTAGGCTTATTTCGCATCAATACGTAGACATTGGCTCTATCGATTCTTTCTTCTCTATAAGGTATATGTATTACTTGTAAAATTATAATCTCAGATTGGTATTCACAAGCAAAATGTAAAATCTCTTGTCGAGTATCTTCTAATATATTAAAAAATATCACTATAGCGAAAATAATTTCGCTAAAAATCCGACTTAAAAAAAAAAAAACAAAGAAAAGAAGAAGTGAAGTACCTTGAATGTATAATATAAATGCAGAGACAAACAAAACTAATCGCTCTAACGATTGTATTTTGAGATCATTATAGGTAGATGTTTTAAGTAAGTAAATCAAATCGCAATGTGTGGGAACATGCGAAATTTTTATTTTTATTTTTTTTTTTTTTAAGTCTGATGGATAAAAAAAAAAAGAAAAGGAAAATTTTTCTTTTTTTCTTCTGCAATAAAAAGAATTCGGTTTCGCAGGTTCGTTTTTGAAACGAACGAAAGAAGAAAAGAATCGAGGTTCCTTTATAAGAAGATTCCGGCGAACTCTAGAGACGAAAGACGTATTATTACGCGGTCGAGTAAGGTGAATGGAAGCTAGTGAGTGTGATTGTAGAGATGCCACCTTTGCGTTTCCGCGTTAGAATCGCATTTCTCCGCAGTGATTCCACGTTGAGCGTGATATCTCGAATCCACGCAGACGGGAATCCTGGAGTGCCTTATGAGACCACCTTCCAAGTGTCGCCACTTCTGATTTTCGCTGCCGTCGCAAATTTGCATGAGGAGCGTCGTGCCTTTCGCGTAAAGTGGTAACGTCAGGCAAAGATCGTGATGCTTTATCAGACCATCCTTTGTGAGGCCCCATTCCTGAAATCGTCAAATCGTACATAATTTACCTCGAAATTTATATCTTCCCATCTACCTATCTTTTTATCTTCGATTAAGTTACTATTATTCATCGAATTTTCGCATTAATAATTATACAGAGTGTTTTAAAGATGCTATCTTGTTATTCACGACGAGTACTATTACGAAATTAAATCTAGTATCTTTTTCAGAAGTTTTCTTTTTCTTTTTATTGAAAAATCTAACGAATAGAAAGAAGAGTAATTTATCAGCTGTTCAAACGTTTGGACAACGTGCGTTTTCCGAGAAAGTAATTGAAGAAAATGCTTCGTTACGTTCACTAAATGCATCAGTGGTACGTACTTGATTGCCACCGGTATCGTGGCAGGGATATAAACCAACGTTTCCATCTAGCAAATGGCCCATGCTATCCAGACAAGCCGTGCCTTGTTTTAGAGATCCTCCTGGACCACCCTCACTCGTAGGGATCACCAATTCGGGGTAGACGTGTTTCAAATACCAACTAAAAGGCTTGCAGTGCAGTTTTCGTTTCAATTCCATTCTGTCTTGAATACTATCGAAAAGTAGAGAAAAGATTTTTTAAAATATTTATATAATATATTGATAATATATAAATAAGATTTGATCTTTTAATTAGATTAGTATAATAAAATAAACTTACTTTCCATAAGGAATGTTTCGTGCAAGAGGTACAGCATTATAATAAAATTGTTTATAATCATCCATCCATACTTCAGCGGCACGTCTCGTGTTCCTTGCAAAAACATTCCCACTACCACCAGGAAAAGAATAAGGATGACGTTTTCTAAAGACATGACCAACTCGAGAACACGGAATGATTTCCAAACTGCCACCACATTGCCATACTCGAAAGGATATTTCTGAATAAATAAATATAATCGTTAAGTTTCTTTTTATTTCATAAATACTATAGATATTTCTAAATGAAATGAATGTAGAGGATTGTTCAATTGTCTTACCAAGATTTTCACCACCCCAGACATCCATTTGAGTGTCGTATTTTCCAAGTTTCTCGAAATAAGCTTTATTGATGACAAACAATCCACCAGCTATCATTGGCGTTCTGATTGCTTGCGTTGGATCCTTTTGTCGTGCTTGTCTTTCAGCTTGGCTCAAATACTCCCATTTAAAAACCAAACTCCAATCGAACCCTCCTCTCAAATCTGCCGACGCACCTGATATACAAAACGGTATTGATCACATTTCTCCATTAGACGTACAGGATTTGGAAATTTCTTCTATGTTTATTTAACAGAGTTTATTTAACATTTATATTAATGCTTTCAATTTGTATTTAATTTATCATCGAAATCAATATAAAACTATACTTTGATAATTCGTATTTTTTGAACGAATAATACGCGTAGTTCAATCCACTCAAATTTGAAGCGAGAGTAATTTTTCAATGATAATAGAAGTACACACAAGCAAATTACCGATATATTGGAAAGTATCCATACTGATAACGTCGATTACAGGACAAACAACTCTCGTCGGATCTTCCGCTACTCTCTCTAAAAGGGGTTCCAACCAATCGGCGTTACACTCGCAATGAGAATCCAAAAATGTTAAAACGCTAGCAGTGGCTGCATCGGCTCCTCGAACTCTCGATCTCATCAAACCTTCTCTTTTTTCGTTTCTGATAACTCGTACCTTGTGAATCTTTGACAGTTCTTCACCATCCTCAGCTAGAATGACGAATGATGATTTTGTTTATAGAAAAAAAATGTTTAATAAGAGATCTACGTTAAAATTGTAATTAAATATAATACTCACGATGATCACTAAAATCGTCGACCAATATGATCTCCTTTATTAAATGCTCGGGACTTCTATTAAGTACGCTGTAAAAAAAAAAAAAAGAAAAAAGTAATTAAGAATTCTCGTTAAATTTGAACGATCGAATTATATGGTCGTCTTAAATAAATTTAAAGCACCGTTACGGTTCTTGCTTTAGCATCTGCGAAAACTTGCCAACCCTTGACTACCGAAACTCTCTTTCTCTTTTTCTCTCTCTCTCTCTTTTTCATCCCTTTTCCTTCTGGTCTCATAGATGGAAAAAATGTTTTAATTAATACGAGACCGAGTTATGAGAAAAATCTCTGATTTATGCTCGATGCCAGAAACTCGTGAAACGAAAAGAAAGAAAGAAAGAAAGGAAGGAAGGAAGAAGAAGAGATGAAAAGAGAGAGAGAGAGAGAGAGAGAGAGAGAGAAAGAGAGCTTGTCGTCTTGCCTACTTTGAACGCGTGACACGCCATGGAACGATGAAAACGATGGAACGACGATTAGAAAATTCCATAGGTCGGCATTCTGAATTTCTTCAATTTTGTAAAACTTTTATTATATTGTAGTCACAACATTTTTGGTTATTTTAAAAAACCGATTATTAAATTTGAAAAACGTTCGTTCTTGATATCATTTACATTGAAAAAAAAAATATAAATGATTAAGAGGGTGAAAACTTACCTTACTACGGTTCTTAACAACGTTGATCTGGCCTCGTTATGAAATGTAATTATGACGGAAGTTGGTGGTAAATCTCTTCGCCATTGTTTCATACGACACCTGTAACAATAAGACGAAAAGGGAATATTTGGTGAATGATTCAAAGGATTTATAAATAACTATAATAATTTTCAAAAGGTTAGCACGATACTGTAATCGAATAATATTAAGTCAAGTAAAGTGGTTTTCTTGAAAGTAAGTCGCATTATAATTCAGAGAAGATATGGTAGAATAGGAAAGAGAAGAGTTGAACTTTCGTTTCGTTGAAGTAAGTCGACGCAGAGGGTACATAAACGTGGTTAGGTGACTAGCACGATCCCAATATGTCGGACCCCTCTCCTTTCCTGAGATAAACTCATGGGACGTGTGTGGAATGTATTTATTTTCTACTCGCGCTCTAGCAAGATGCATTTCCGATGGGAAAAAATTTCTTCTCTCTTTCTCTCTCTTACTCTGTTTTTTCTTTCTTGAAAAATTCGAGCAGACATTCGCTCGTCGCTATGCCATCAAGAATTACCAAACAAACTTCTACAAGCTAATAAGATTGTCGAGATATTTTCATGAAATCTGAAAAGAGGTTCGATAAACTTGACAAAAAAAAAAGATGTTTCGAGTTATCTCAAAAGAATTTTAGACTAATGAAAAATCTTCATAAAGTTTGTTCAAAAGTATATCACATTTTAGTTAGACTAGAATCATTTGGCAAGTGTTAGTATTTTCAAAAGATATTCCTTTTGTAGGACGAGTAGCAAGGACTGTGGCAGATTAGTCGAAAGGATTTATACATTCACTGTAACCCCCCGTGCGAGCCGGACGTGAACATATTTGCTGGCTACTAAAATTGCAAACGAGCTTGAGAGAGAAAGAGAAATAGCAAAGCCGCGTCCACGAGACGAGATGGATCATCCGGACGGTTTAATTCGAAACTTCAATTTGGTGTTGTGCTGTCCTAGCGCTTAAGTGGATAACGCGACTGGACTACCGATTTTATCGACTGTTCGAAATTCGCGTACGCATTCGCTGAGACGATCAATGTATGCGTAAACCGTGTATATACGTATTTTAACACTAATACAAATACGGATCGATCGTGCGAATGCGAACGCACGACGACAACGTAAATTTGTTCGAGTATTTCACGAATTTTCATAAACGCTCTTCTTCTCTCTCTCTCTCTTTTTCCATATTATCATATTTGAAATGAATAATGATTAAACAATAATATAATGAAGAATACAACACCATTAATCGATTCGCGTATTAATAATAATAATAATAATGAGAATAAATTCTATCGAGAAAATCAGGAATATATTTCAAAAAGAATTTATTCATAAAATTTGGGATTTCTATAAATTCAAAGAAAAATTGTACTTTCTTTAAACACCCGTCGAACGAATTTGAAATAATCCTTTCTTTCACGGTCTTCCGATAATCAAATTAAGGATAAGGGAAGCTTAATTACGTGAGAGAGCATCGGTAATGCTCAGATTGTAATGTACTCGTATATTTTTGCTAGCTACTTTTGCGAATAGGACGCTAGTAATACTTGACGAGAAAAAATAAGGATAGTATAGGAATAAAAAATAAAAAAAAAAAGGATTCGGCCGAGTTGGACGCGAGATAGAATTAGGACAAGCGTTCAGTGGCACTTGGAAAATAAAGTTTTTCGCTTGTATGATTGCGAGCAATCTAGTCTTCGGACATAGCCAATGAAAGGTTAGGTAGTTGCTCTGCTGAATATTGAATTTTTCATTTAACTTTACTCTCTTGTCGCATCTCTCTCTCTCTCTCTCTCTTTCTTTCATTGAAAAATCAGAATTATAGAACAAAGTCTAATATGTAAATTGGTTCTAGGCTGTACGAATGCTTACTTTTACTTTTCTTTTTTTCTCTCAATATTTTAAGATCATATAAATGGATAAATAAATAGATAGATAGATAGATAGATAAATACTTATTTATAAATAGCTACCTAGGATAAGAATAAATTTCGTTTGCGCAAACGCGAACGTATTTCGAAACATTTGGGATTTCCATTAATATTTAAATACGTAGAATATTTGGATAATGACGATCGACATATGTAAATGAAATCTCATCTATGCTTGTTGGTTGTGTGAGTTATGAACGCAGAGAACAATATATATTCTTGATAATGTTCCAAACAGATTAGTACCGTAACACTGATTTTTATAGCCTATATATATTATTTTGCTTGTGAAACATTTATTTTAAGGTTTCCAATAGTTTTGGACAATTCCATATCGGAAAATCGTTAATCTTTGATATATTGCATAATATAGTCAAATAATATCGTTGATTTATAAATTGATTGCATAGATTTATAAAATAAAGTATTATATTAATGACAAATTGAATGTTTAATTCTCAATATCGCATTATTCATCGAAACACTTGGTTTCTCACGATTAAAGTAACCTTTTACTCGTATATTAGTTTTAGGAAGCGAAAAAGCTTTTCCGTGCTTTTTTTTTCCTGCTACGAACCTATACAGAATCGCTAGACTGAATCGCGAAATTGAGGAAGAGAACGAAAGTAAAAACTGCGTGTTACTTCAACGAAATTTGTTGCATAAAAAAGAGTACTTGAAGTTTCGCAGATCCCCCGTAGATCTTAAAACGGTGCGGTTTCCTGCGACGTTTCGGAGTTCCTTTCGGCTATATATTTCTCCAACTTTCAAACGAAGACGATTTATTTTTACGACTACTTGCCTTGAATTCCAAGAAACGAAATAACTTTTTTTTCCTCCTCTTCTTTTTTCTTTTTTTTTTTTTTACCTTTACCTCTTTAAACGAAGTTGTAATTATTTTTTTACTTCTTGAATTTTGAATTAATATCAAAATGACATTTTTATCGATGAAAAAACATTGATGCAACCCTAGTTTCGTTTTAACCTTAGAATATTAGTGATTAATGATACACCTTCGTTCGCCATTACGAAAATCCTCGTATATTGCTCGAACGGTTCAAAACGACCTTGTAGACAAATATTATTTTAACGTAGTTACGAGAAGGAGCAAACCCCGAACACATCGATGATTGCTTCGTGTAGAAACTTCTATCGATTTTCTCATTTTGAGCTTGACTGACCGGCAAAATTGAGACCCGATTTTTTATTTTTTTTATTCCATCCAATTATCTCTTTCCAATAAGTTAGCAATTTTATAAATTATTCATTTGTGATTTTTATTGAATAACGTGATCATGCATACATATATATGTATATTTAATTAATTTATTATAATATAATATAATATAATAATGTGTTCTTTGATATTTAGAATACTAGAAATACATCGGGATCTATTTAACGAAATATTAACGTTTTCGCGTCAATGCAAACGCGAGAGATGAATTTTAGACGTTTCATCGATCGATTAAACTCACGCCCACATAACGTTTTGCAATGCGCGCACGATATCATGAAAGTGCATACAGTTGTCGACGAATAATAACTGTTTAATTAATTACCTCGACGAACCGTACGTACGTGGCAAACTCTCGATGTCGTTTTAAGAAGATCGATCGTATTCATCATAAATTTGGTTTACTCGTCGAGAATGCGAATCACGTGTCAACGAAATTTATAGATTGTTGTATGATTAATAGCTTTTTTTTTTATATTCGTAAAAGCACTAATTGTAAAAAAAAAAAAATAAAAAAAAAAAAAGATGATAAGTGAAAAGGATGACACGTATTTTGATAGGTTTTGTCAAAAACGATCGTTCAAAATCGTTTCTTGTTTGTCAAAAAGTTTGCAGTTATATGAAGAAACAACATTGGAAAGGATTTTTTCGTTGATTCGTAGAGAATCGTAAATATAGATTGGGGAAAAAGTGCGACAAAAGATCATAAAATCTCATCGAAGGTAAAACCCCTGTTCGTTTTTATGGGACGTATAAATACGTGTACCTTATATCCTAGAAATCTGACGTGAAGGATATCACGGAAGTACGTATATATCGTGTTTGAGAGTCGCTGGCATCGTGAATAAAAGATGCGCGAGTTCCGGCATGCATCTTGAACGTTTCTTAGTGTTTTACGTTATTTGAGATTCAAACCTGACCCGAAGATTCAAACTTCATTTGATTTCATTCTTTTTTTTTATATTAAATCAAATCTGAAAAAATAACTCACAACGTTATATTCATCTCACCTAACTAACTTCACTATTTTATTTCATGATTGAGCTTTTCCCAATTCGAATTAGCATCGTCAATTTGTGTGTTGGTTCGCAATCGATTTTCCCCGAATGCGTTCGTCGAGAGCTTTGTAACACGCGACGACAATTTCAATTTACATCGATCCCTGCTAATTATTTCGTTAAAGTACTGGACAAAACGTTGAGGCGTATGTATCCCCAAATGCGAACATAATTACGTTCCAAATTTTCCACGATCCATTGAAAATGATCTTGACAAAAAAATATCAAAATAAGAAAAGCAAAAGTTATTTTGCTGTTGATAACGTTAGTTTTACTTTGTTTTTTTTTTCTCTTTTTTTTTTAATCACGATGTTAAGAATAAACGAGGAAAGCTACTCTCAACGTATAAGAACTAATTACGAATGATTCTCGAGTGGGACAATAAAATCCCTTTCTCGAAAACAGAATCATTGTGTTATCTCGTTGTATACTAAATGGCTCGTTAAACGAGCTTTCTCGTCGACTTGCGATAATATCTGAATGAAATTTCGAAATTTTCCTTTCCACGCTGAATTTCGACCAAATATTTTTTTCTTCTTTTTTTATTTTTATTTTTTCTAGAAATTCGTTCTCTCGTAGAGTAGCAAGAGAAAAACGAATAGAACTTGACTGATGGTAGTAACATATCCAAACGAACGGGACGGTTCGCCAAGTTTCAAACGAGCAATTCGATATGACTGAGTGGATATTTCAATATCTTACTGGTAGAGCTTCATTAACCAATTTCTTCCAGTTCGAAATTGGTTCGATAATTAGTCTGATTTGTGTCAATATCAATGAGATGAGTATGTTTGTTTTAAATTTTGATTTTTATTTCTTTTCTTTCTTTTTC